CAAGTTTGAATTTAAGTCAACCTGACCAGTAAAATTCTCCTTTGTGTTATACGTTTAATGGTGTTGTAGTAAATGAAAGAAATCTGTCAGCATGACTCTTTGGGCTAAAAGTGTAAGGAATAGGTAGAAAATAAGATTTTTCTATAGCAGATTGTGAAAAAACAGGAAAGTAATTCAGTAATTGAATTACTTTGGTGTGGCATGTCTATATCAGAAGGAAAAAGTCCAAAACTTTCGTCCACCATATTTTCTAAAGCCATTGAGTGGGCTGGCTTAGAGTCTCTGCTGGGTTGATTAAGGCCCCTGGTCCTTGTGTTTGACACCCCCCGATCTAGAACTTAGCAGGAGATGACCAAAATCATTCAGCATCATTCAATTCATAGCTTTAAAATCACTTTAATAAAAAAATGTCAGCCTTCTCTTAGTGCTACAAAAGCAGCAAAATAACCACCAAAGAAAGTTGAATTCATCACACGGAGAAGATAACCTCTGAGCCTGGATCAACGATCAGAAACACAGAGCTACATCATCATCATGAGGGCAAAGATCAGAAGTTTTCTGATAAAAGTTTAAACATTCTCACGGTTTGAATTCAGAGAAGCGCCTACCTGATCCTTAAATGAGTTTGTGGTTCATATTAAATCAAGTGTTTGTATTATAACTGTGTGCTCTTCTACGATTCCCCCTGTGGCGGTAAACGTGAAGAGTTGTTTTGTCAGTGGTGACCTAGATGAAACCCGCAAATGGACATTAAGTGGCTCCTTCGTGGAAGTAGGTTGCAGTGTCTCAGAGAGAGGAACTTTTGCCTCTGCAGTAACACCACAGGGAGCTTCCTATATTTACCGTGGTGCAAAGAAAGTGCCATAATTGTCTTGTCCTGCGCCTATTCTGCCACATTCATATTGAGAACAAAAAAGCAGGACTGCTGGCAGCATGTCGGGGCAGCACAGTTTCTCAGGATTTATGCTTGAGCCTAATGCGGTGGTGACAGCTACCAGAGAAGCTGGAGTTCGGCTGAAAGTCGTGCATTTGCTTTGAGGTATCACTCACACCCGATGCCGGTGGTACATTCATGAGCCACTTGAAGGACCACCGGTGAAGAAGTCCTTTCAGCGAGCAACGCTGTTGAGTCTCTTGGCTCTCAACTGTTTAAAATAAGCTGACCCCAGCTGTCCACAAATGGCAGAAATGGAATGAAGAAAAAGAAAAGTTAATATTTAGAAATGTGAGGCTCTAATTCAAACAAAGAGTCTTTGTGGCTGTTTAAAAGTTTGTGATGGATGACGAGAGCCATACTTTCTTGTAACGTGGCTGTGCCACAAAGGGACGACAGACGAGAGGGGTTTCAGGTCGAGCTTTTAACGTTGTTTTTCCCTTTCGTTGACTTTCTTGTCTGTGAGAAACAGAACTCCTCCTAACGCAACACAGCTGTGAAATCACGACCGTGGAAAAGAGTAAAGTGAAGGAGCAGAGTTTGGCACGTGAACTTTGAGTGATCGCCATGTGGCTCGTGCGTTCTCATCAAGTAGCAGGACTGTTGGCAGGCCTAATGGCAGCTTATTTTCACTGGCCTGTGTGCACAAAACGGGGGGAGAGGGAGGGGTGGGAGGTAGAGGATGGGAAAAAAGGAAAATAGTAGTGATGAACGGAACAAAGGGAACAAAAGAACAAGCGCAGAGAGAAAAATGAAAAAGCAAATGACAAAAGTAAGGGTATGAAAAAAAAATACTGCTGAGAAACGGAGTGGGTTAGGGAGGAGGGGGGGATCAGTATCTCTGGGTAGAGCTTGTTCACCCGCAGAGCCTGCCGAGGTGCGTCTGAACAGCCCGGCCCTCTGATTGGCGGAGCGCAATGCAGCGCTCTCCCCTCCCCCCCTGAAGAAAGAGGTGCAGCAGGAACGTCAGACCCAGACAGCACAAGACTTGACTACTGAAGCAGCGTTTTTCCAAAGCTCTACCTAGGATGCAGTCAGCAGAGCATCTAGGGATAGACTAGATGCCAGATCCCTCTCCTTTTACAGCAGAGCATCTTCTACTGCTAGCCTTAGGAATCCATCGAATAGTATAGATTGGAGATACATTTTAAAGCTTTTATCAGCCAGAAAGGGCAAAGCTGACGCCTTGAGCATCGAATTCACCGCATTGAGGAGGACAGCCACCGGTCACCATGGGCAGGCAGGGGAACGATACCTCTCCTCCGGCTCCTGGGATGCGCATCCAGTGTTCCCAGAGCAAGATGAGCCTGTCAGCATCATTCGAAGCGTTGGCTGTCTATTTCCCCTGCATGAACTCCTTTGATGAGGAGGACGGAGGTAAGATGACAGGCCACAAATGTCACAGCCAAAGCTTCCTGCTGGGGGGTAAACAGTGCGGCTTAAACTAAAAGATGGCGGTGAGCGAGGGGAGATAGATTTAGGATTAGAGGGAAGCTGCAGAGGTACTGGCATGGGAGAGAACTGGGACGTTGGAAAGTTCAGAAATGTTATTAGCTCAATTAGGATGTTTAGCTCAATTAGTCTATTTCAGTAAGTGTAATGTGTTATAAGGCTTGAGCTGTCCATACTGTGCATGATCTGGTTATATGATGACATAAAGCTTAATGTGCAATTTCATCTGTGGGTGGTCAGTTTATCATCAGTTAGTTGTGGGCCAGTCACACTTCTTTCTGCATCTGTTGTTGCTGCTGCCACCAATGGTGGTGTTGTCAAAATGGAACCGGTCTGTTTGCTTACAAATGCCACTCACGCTGGTCTAAAAACCTAATTTGTCCTGCATGACTGTGACTCTGATTCTGTGGATGAAAACAAAGGACTCTGTATTTGGAATGAATCCCTCTTTAGTATTTAGTTGGAAGTAGTGCTTCTTTTTCTTTTTGCTTACAACCACAACGTTGTTCCGACTGTCACTTCAAATTTCCTAAAAGGTAGCGTAACGCCTACTGTGTGTATTTATAGCTCAGCCTCACAATCACTTCTTGTTCTATTTGCAGTTGTATTTACAAAAGAAGATTTGCAGTGCGCGTGATCTATTCTTCTGTAGCTTTATCTGGCAACATATTTTTTGCCACACTACTCACCACTCCTCCTTTTTTTTTAGCTACAATTTCACACTCACTTAAACTCACACTTCCACCATTGGCAGCTTCCCTAGACTCGCTGTCTTTTCCTGACTGGCAGGGTCGCAATTTGAGGGCAGCAAACTTATGGAGATGAGCCAGTTTGTCTCGTTTTGACGCCTCTCCTGCTTCGCGGTTGCTGGATAGTTTATAAAAGTAGCTTACTCTCCGACATACACTTATAACAGTCTAATCTTTATCTTATCTGCCACTGCTTTTTAATGCACCTCTGTATATTTTTGTCTATAGAGCGGATACATACAGCGTTTATTTGAAATGCATTGGAACAGTATTTAAAGCGCTCAAATAAGATCGCATAGTGCTCGATATAGTGCAAAAGCTGCATAAATCCAAGACTGCGCCTTGTAACTTGTGTCAAAAGCAGAAGAGAATTACCATTAATAAATCATGTGTTTTTCAAGTTCGTTGATAATGTTTGGCTGGCCACTGAATGACAGCGGAGGTCTGCTGCAGACGTCAGAGACGACCTTTGTGGCTGCTTCTCTTATTGTAAAAAATGTGAAGAGCAGGAAGAGGAGGCGGAGGCCAGCTGAATAACTGAGATTTCAAGGCTGAAGAGCATCATGCCTGTTTTATGTCTGTGTGAGGCACAAAATGATCCTTTTTTTTATCTTCAGTTCCTCCTCTACTAAGCCAAACAAAGGAGAGAGGAAGGAGAGTAAAGACTGCAAGGCCTATAACTGGATTAGGACTGCTGAAGCATAGAAATTACTCATCTGCACAAACTTGCAAAATATTAGAGAGAAATTACATAAGGTCTGTGAACGGCCGGTTTTTGCACCCTGTAGTAATGAGCTGAAGCTTTGTGTATAGTACCTCTGTGTTATTACCTTCATCAGGCTTTGCAGGGA